GTTTGTCCTGTCTGTCTCTGTGTTGCCCTGCGATGAACTGGCAACCTGTCCAGGGTGGACCCCACCTCTCGCCCAATGGCAGCTGGAGATAGGCACCAGCACCCCTTGTGACCCCACTTAGGATAAGCGTGTAAGAAAATGGATGGCTTGATGGATAAATGACTGAACAAATGAAGCATCTGATGATATTCTGACTAGGGCTGGGCGATATGCACTTAAAATCTTATCATAAACTATGTAATATTCCCCCAGTTTCTGGAGTTTCTAATCATTATTGATTTGAATTTATTGATTAGTTGATAAATCAAAATTCTTACCAGGACTAGAAACTTGTCAAGATAAAGTTAAACGATATGATAACTGCCTGTACCGCTAATTCTGACTCATTGAGATCCACCTGCTGGCTGGGTGACTAATCTAGCAATGCTAGGACAGCACTAATGAATAACTTTCACTCATGCCAATCCACACTTGCTTCAACCTTTACTGACACACTGAAGCAGAGGCCTTATTAAGGGGGTAGAAAAAAGGTTGTGCCATGCAAAGGGGTGGGGGGGTGTCTGGATCTAATCTATGTGCTGCAGCACTCAGACATCCTTTCCTCTATGGATAAGACATGTTCTCATCAGCATGTGGTTGTCCACAATATGTTTTCATAAGATGCAGACTGAGGGTCTGTCATAGAAGAAGCAGAAAAAAGGACTCCATGGTGTTAAGCTTTTCAAGATCACTTAGTTTTTTGTTTTTTTTTTAGATAAAGCAAGAACCTAACAGGTGTTCTTGAGTAACACGGATGCTGCAAGAGTTTCGCTTCTGAGTAACATTTCCCCTGCCACGTAATTTTAGCCTCACTTCTTGCACGAAAACAGGAATTTAAACTTTACAACCAATGAAATCAAACGAAGAAAGAAAAAGTATCCCTCTCAGCAGCTCTGCTCTGACTCTTTCATAGAATATTTTCCTGCATTTTAAGTTTCAAGTTATACTAAAAGGACAACAGTAACAATTGTTCTTATAAAATTGAACCAACAAATAGCTTTAATTTATTATTTCATTTGTTATCTGTTTGTTAGATTGTTTATAGAAAGAGACATATTCCCAATTGGTGACATAGTACAATGGCGTACCTATCGGTAAGCAGAGACTGCAGTTGCTTAGGGGCCCCTGACCTCTTAGGGGCCCCGTCACTGCAAAAAAATCCTCTTAAACCCACCTGATACTAGTTTGACTGACCGGATATATACCCCAACACATGCCAGATTTCAACATGATGGTGAGCCGTTTAAACACAACACCAATAGCGAAGCAGACAGTGGTACTTTGAATTACTACCGTATGTTGATAACTATGTATAGTTCATCAGACGGTTGGTAAAAAATACACTCATATTATATGTTTCAAACCGCAATAAAGATCTTAAAAGAGCAACGTATTTGAGTATTTTATTTTTTACAATACGATTTGGAATTGTGGGTAATCCAGCACGTAGATTAAAAAAACCATAACAGTTATGTACAATGTGTTGGCGGGTAGGGGATGGCGGTGTTGTACTTCATATGGGGCCCACCCAGATAATGTTACACGATTGATATAGTATGATGGAATAAACTAATATAAAACAGAAAATTAATAAATAGAAATTTCTAAATTATATTTGTATTAATTTACAGGGGCGGCGTATGGGGGTGGGGGGAGTTAGGAAGATTCTAAGGGGCCCTGGATCTGGGGTCTGGATTCATGTGTACAGCGATACAGCTGTATTTTTGGTTTTATATCAGCAGTTATTAATTTGATGGGGTGATTTTTAATGTAAAGTTCAAGGTTAATGTAAATTTTACAGTTTATTTTACAGTTTTATTGATTAATTTTTTGATTGATATATAGATATACTCACACACACACACACACACATATATATATATATATATATATATATATATATATATATATATATATATATATATATATATATATATAGGTTTATATATGAATATATTAATACTCACATTCCTTTGTCCCCATAGGTATTGTAAAACTCCATATGGTTACACGCCTGAATCCAGCCGATGGTCCATGTCTCTTTGGTTGCTATAGGAGGCACCAGAAGCCGCGCTTGAGCTCGGAAGTGCGGCGTCCGGTAGCGCAGGACCACGTTTGACGTCTCGTCGATGCTGGTGGGGTTGGAGTCAATGGAAGCATTCAGCTCCAGGACGATAACGCTGTCTCGGAAACTCTTGGGCTTACACTTGATGCTCTGGATGCAGCCCATCGCACTGAATTGGAACACAGTCCACAAAAAAGCCCAAAGTTCTGGAGGAGAAGGAGGAGGAGGAGGTGAAGAAAGACGCATGGAAACAGCAGGAAGAACCACCATCAGTTTTGACCTACATGCTCCTCTCTTCCTCTCCCCTAAAGCAGTCTACAAAGCCAAAAAAAAAAAGTCAAGAGTAGAAAAAAAAGATCCAATACTGTCACTGTAGAGGCAGGCAGACCAATAGAAAAGCATCACAGCTGCAGACCGCATGCTTTCCGGTACGAAAATGCAACTTCACTTGCAGAAGTTGGGCATCACAACTTTTCTGATGCGTACACACAGGGTTGCATGTTGTCACCCATGCAAATGTCTGTATTTAAAACAGGTAACCTAGAGGTAATTTTGGCAAGACCCGAGACAAGAGCTAAATTATTAAAAGAAACTACTAATGTTACATCTTGGGAGTCTGATTTCCTTTTGTATAATTCATCAGAAGATAATCCCCAGCCAGAAGAGCCGCTGACATGAACCATGATCAAAGAACATTGTTGTAGATCAGTTAGAAACATAATAAATGTAGTCCGGGTGTATTAATCTAGTCCTCCAGTTCCTCGTGAAAATTTGATTTGACGATTTATGACAGCTGGATGTCGGATTACGGGTTCGTGCAGTGTAAGTGCAGGCTTTTTGTCTATTTATAGCGGCTTAAAAACAGCATGCAAAAACAGGTCTACCTATGAACCAACAGTGTGTAAAGAATCCAGTGTTTTCAGCGGTGTGAGATTCCAGAGAGAGGGAGAGGAAGGCGTTGACTGTCACAGTTCTTCGGTCTTAGAGGTAATTCCGTTATCCGCTCCTCTATAGCGGCGGCGGCTGCAGTCACCGTCCCACCGAGAGAGGTTAGACATCCCCGATAGATTTTAAGAGCGATCTCTGCGACATCCAGAGGACACCACTGGGTCAACTTTTTTGCTCCAGTTCCATATTTATTATAGAAAAATATTCAATTCCGAAATTGAAAAAAAGGAGAAAAAAATTAGACTTAATCAGCAAAAAATAAATAAATAAAGGAATGTTGTCACATTGTTCGAGCGAGCTGATCGTAGGCTTTCATTTCGGTTTTTTAAGCAGCTCTTAGAGGAGATTCCTGAGCGAGCTGCCAGGTCTCTGTCACCATCCCATCGTAACAACAGCAGGTTCACCCAGCTGCTTGCAGCGCCACCGGGGAAGCAGCTTTATAAGCATCTCCATGACGACACTTCCGCCTTGAACGCTCTGCACGCTGGGAAACGTAGGCAGCGCCAGATTCACATTTATTACTGTATAATAGACTGTTTTATTGTGGATTTATTTACTATCACAGGGAGAATGAAAAGACTACATAAGAGGATTATGGCCACTGGAAAAAAAAAGTTAACTGATTTAAAAATTTTATTTCAGTATAATATGAAAAAAGTCAGAATTCTGACTTTAATCTCAGAATTCTGGCTTTAGTCTCAGAATTCTGACTTTAATCTAAGAATTCTGACTTTAGTCTCAAATTCTGACTTTTTTCTCAGAATTCTGACTTTAGTCTCAGAATTCTGACTTTAATATCACAAATCTGACTTTAATCTCAGTATTCTGACTTTAGTCTCAAATTCTGACTTTTTTCTCAGAATTCTGACTTTAGTCTCAGAATTCTGACTTTAATATCACAAATCTGACTTTAATCTCAGTATTCTGACTTTAGTCTCAAATTCTGACTTTTTTTTCTCAGAATTCTGACTTTAATCTCAGAATTCTGACTTTTTTCTCAGAATTCTGACTTTTTTTTCTCAGAATTCTGACTTTAATCTCAGAATTCAGACAGCTAATATTAATATCTCCTGCAGCCTACCATTAAAATTATAATTAACAGCATTTTTAACCACAGCCACTGCTTTTGATGAGTGCACAAATAAAAAAAATACTGAAATAGTTTAAACAGGTGTAAAGCTACTAATACGATTTGTTAAATAATATTTCAGTTTAACAATTTATATATCTTGTCATGTCAATGCCTATTTAACTATTTTAATTACCAATTTAATGAAGAAGTACATTTTACTCGTGGTTCTTTTGGAGTTCCATAATAAGCGGGGTTATCGGCAGTGGTCCATCTTTTTAAGCACCTTGGAGAACTCCGCTTTACGTAAGTGCGCACCGCTGAATCTGAATTGTGCGTAACCTACGCCATATATGCGCAGCAGAAGCCAGATGCTGCACTGTCACAGCGCTCTTCACCCTCGTCTTTTGTTGTCAGGGATTTGCTAGATCTAGAATCTGCCGATCGCTTCCTGAATGTGAGAGGTGAGATGGATGTAGGGGAGAGCATCTGGGGGTGTGGGGGCTGAGATGTTTCGTATTTCTTGCACATTTTACGCAGAGCCTTATAGGCTATAAAATGCTCATGTTGATATTTTTGTGTCCATGCTGTAGGCCGAGGTTTCACAGGATTGGCTGGAAGCTGATGACATTCATTAGCTGCGCTCTGCCTGTCTGTATGATATAAACAACTTGGACATTGCATTCTCCAGACTCTAAATATAGCATTTAGGGCCACAGTAGGGGGAGGACGGGTGTTTTTCTGGGACATTTCACCGTTGTGGTGATCTTACACCATCTGAATTACCTCCCTAAGCTCAATCGGTTATTGTCCCCTCAGGGAAAATATAATCTAACATGCCTTCGGCGAACAACGTTAGATCCAGGGCGCGGGAGAGAAACAGCGTCTTGAGCAGACCCGAGTTCATGTCTCTCAACCAGCCCCTCCGTGGAGGCTGCGGACCCCCGGACAGCCGCTGCGCTCCCAAACGCGCGGCTCAAAACAAGCCCCAAAGCATCCAGAAGAGCGAAGAACCTATCGACGGCGGCAGCAAGGACAGAAGAGAGTCCACCAAGATGCCCGATGAAGACTGCATGCAGCTGAACCCTTCCTTCAAGGGGATAGCGATGAACTCCCTCCTCGCCATTGACATCTGCCTGTCCAAACGCATGGGGGTGTGCGCCTCCACGTCGTCCTCCTGGGGAGGCTGCCGATCCATGGTGGCCCTCTTGGCGCTCACTGGGCATGGCATCACGTGGATCATTGGCACTATCATATGTCTGACACGGAGCAACACTCTGGCTGGACAGGAGGTCCTGGTTAATCTGCTGCTGGGTAAATATCACGTGACTTTTAGATATTTAAATCTGCATTTTTCAGAGTTTATTACCTAGAGCCAAAACTATACAAAGACAAACAATCCATAATATGCATAATCTACATAATATGCAGGAAGGAGATTATATGTATATATATTAAGTATTTACATTTTCTAAATAAAAAAGTAAAAAATTGGCATAAGTATGCAACATGTTCTATGGATGCATCATCCTAATACGGTCACATTTCCTTAATGCCTTTGTATTTCAGAGTGTAGAATTAACTCCTGTTTCTATAGCCAAATCTTAGCCTTGTTATTAATCTATCCTCATTTCTGCGCCTTCCTCCAGTTATCATTTCTTCCGTCTTTTGATCCAAAATACGTCTTCCTTTTCTTTCCCCATTCTATTATGCCATTCATTATTCATTTTCTTTATTTATGATACTGATTTACTTATATGTACCGCACTAAATACATGTTGGTGTGTTTGTACTAACAATTATAGAGATTGGATCAATTACTGAGCAAAATCAACTCGCTAATGTTGTAACATTAAATGAACTAAAATGAGCAGCACCACTTACATATTGCTAGTAGTAGGTCGGACCCCTTTTTCCCTTCAGAACTGCCTTAATCCTTAGTGGCATATATTACAGGAAACATTCCTTGGAGCGTTTGGCCAACAGTGACTTAATATCCTGCTGCAAATTTGTCTGCTGCATATCCATGATGCAAATCTCCTGTTCCCCGGCATCCCAAAGGTGCTCTATGGGTTTGAGAAACCTATGACTGTGGAGGTCATTTCAGTGCAGCAAACTTATTGTCATGTTAAAGAAACCAGTCTGAGATCATTCACGCTTTATAGCATGGCACGTTATCCTCCTGGAGGCCATAAGAAGATGGGTACACTGTGGTCATAATTGGATGGGTATGTCTACATGCCTGGATGCACTGAGTTGCTGACGTGTGATTGGCTGACTGGAAATTTGCGTTAGCAGACAGATGGACAGGTGTACCTAATAAAGTGGTCGGTGAGTGAGCCTCCTCTGCATTCAGTCTCACCTTTTATAGAATGAAGTGTGTTAAAATATGTGGATGCAGAAAAAGACAAAACAAAAAAACCTGCACAAAGTGAAGCAGTTTTAACTGTTTTGGTCTAACTCGCACATTTATCAATGGGTTTTATTTTATTTTTTTTTCAGCTATCAAATAAAAAGCTGTTAGAAGTTCACAATGATACTGACTGTACCAATGAGAGCAATGAAAAGGCTAAATAATCTTTGAAATCGTTTGTTAAAGCAAAAAGGAAACAAGGACATAGCCTAGTTTTTAGAAAGCTCTGTGTTTACAAGAGACTGCAAATGCTGCCGATGCGCCACTCAATATGTGCAGCCCTCTGCTCTCTATTGGAAGAGGACATACTTCATCATAGAAGAACAATTAAATATAGCAAAAATGATAACCCATTTTTTAAATGTTGTCACATTGCTACTGTTAAAGGGATAGTTCGGTATTTTTGACATGAATCTGTATGGCATCCCCATCACCAGTGTCATGCAATCACACTGACTTACCCCTGGCAGTGTCCTGTGAGC